ACGAAGGGCCTGAATGTTAGAAGCATTTTTACAGGTGCCAGATTTAATAAATTTGACAAGTGAGGCATTTATTTAAAATGTCTTTGGCCAAATGTTTCAGAAATTAATTTAACAGCCTGTTTATAATTCTCTGGAGTAATTGAGAATCGTTTGATGCTAGCTAGGGCTTTACCACCTAATAACGACTTTAAATAGCAAAAATTTGTCAACCTCAGTTAAAATTAGAATTATTATGTACAGAATTCTGAAACTGATTCCAAAAATCTAAATATTCTGAAGGCTCACCACCATAGAGGAAGTGAAAGAAGTTTAGGAAGTTTAGTTCTGTTTTCTAAATGCAAAGTTTTATTTTCTACGTGAACATTTCTGGATTTACTGTTTGTTCACCTGACTGATATGGAACTTTTCCAATTGATTTAATTTTGTTTGCAACTTTACTTTAACTGGTATTATTTTTTCGTTATATTCATCTACTGTGTTAATTTCATCCTTAATTTCTTGTTCTTCTTTCAAACAATTCATCAATGTCACTATTTAGTATGTTAATAATTTCAATTTTACTATTCAACTGTTCTAAATATGAATCACATACATCTATGTCAATATCTGATTCATTCAAATATATGTTTATTTTTTCTACTAACTTTAATGTTTGTTCACGGTGTTGTGTGTCACGCTTAGTTCGAAAGCTTTAACAATTTAGCCATTTTCACAGTTTCTAGCAACAAATTTTACCCCCTCAAATACTTTAACAATAAATTCTAATTCTAGAATTCTAAGAAAACAAACTGTAATTTCAACAACAAAATCACACTTCAAGCATAAATTAACAACAAAATTCTAATTCTAAGAAAAGCACAACATTTTCTTACTTGCAAATACCAATGGCAAATATTCAGTAAAATGCGAAACCCTAAAGTTGTAAATTTTTACCAAACAAGATCAACAACATAAATCAAACAACCCTACTACTTCAACAATTAACAAGTAGTATTCTATTCAACCAAATTTTCAAAACAAAACTATTTACTCACCCCACCATTACGATAATTCCCGGCGACAGCACCACATGTTACGAAGCGAATAAACGATACTATGCGTAGTTTCGAAAGGCTAGTAATAACTTGACGATTCTTGTTCGAACGCTAATTTTGTTTAGACGAGTTTGCATCAGTGGTAAATTTGATCTTGATTTGGATACAAAATATTCATGACGATATCTTTCATTTATATTTAATGAAAACACCAAAATATATCACAGCAATACACATACATTGCAATGGCGAACTACAATTACATAATGTAAAAAAAAAAAACAGAATTCCTTTGGCGCAACAGCGCCCTCTATCCTATGAAAAGTTCCAACAACAGTAGCTCAGGATATAAATTTATTTATTTCTACAGTGAATACAATAGTGAAGGATAAACTTCTAACATTATCAAAACCTTGAAAATTGTAATAATTTTGAGGTGCACAAAGATTAACAATAGAAGAAGCTAGGTCCAGTTTTGGAGAGGGAGAAATTGCTGTCATATTGGATCAAAGATCTGATGTAGAAATGGGTACTGTTGAGTTTTATCATTATGCAGGAGAAACATAGGTCCTTATATAAAGAATTATAAGAGAATGCTGACATGCAGCCCTGGAAAGTATGTTTAAAACTAGTGCTAGGTGGATTTAGGTTTGAATGATTCAAGAAGCTTACATCTTTGCAGAGCAAAAGTCAAAGGTGAGGCAGAAGTTAACAGTCAAAGGTGAGGCAGAAGATAACAGTCAAAGGTGAGGCAGAAGTTAACAGGCACTGATACTGCAAGTAAAAATGATATGCCCATAAAATCTACTCCAGAGGTGTTTGTAAGATGCCGATCACAATATATTCAACATGATAACTGGAATGATCTAATTACCCTCAATCTTCAACATTGAGAGGGATGGAAGTTGCCAGAGAACAGTATTTCTATTTATAATCATCTATCTCCTGTGCTGACTCTTCTGCTAGAGCCAAATTAGTTGTCACAAGACTTTTTTTTATGATTTGAAAAGTGTTCAGTTATTTTTTTACTCATTTTCATATTTTTCTCATATTTTATGATTTATGTCTGAGTAAATTCTGCTGAATACATTTATAAAATAATCCTTTGTAAATAATATATATATTTGCATAATAATAATATATTGCATAAATTATGAAATTATTGCTAAGCAATTGATAAATTTGATTTGTGTAAAATTCAAGAAATGGGAACATTTATGGAATGCATCACTTAATAACATAGAGGATTACTGTATATTTCTTCTTTATATAACTTTTTTATTCATGCAGCTGAAAATTTAAAGTTAAAAATTTTAATACAAACTTTTTTCTTAAAGATTAATATCAGTTAAAAAATTGCATTGAACAATAGGTAATGCATTAATTCTTGTTATTTATTGATAGTTTTATTGTATTGTCTTAATTTTTTTTTTATTTGAGGAAGTTTCATTGATCCATAAAGATTATTAAGTTTCTGTTTTTAAAGACACAGAATGTAAAGAATGTGCCGATTTTAAGTGAATGCTTCTTCTTGGACAGATATTGTGTTAATTTAACCCCATGCCTGGCATAATGACCTTTATCAACTCACGGGATTTTTTGTCATTTGGTATATATTGTCTTGTTACTAAAAATATTTTATAATAAGGGGCAGTATACTTTTAACAAGACGAAAATGTTTGCAATTTGACCACTGTTTATTATTTTTTGAAAAGCATACTTTTTCAGTTATGTGCATAAAATTTTCTGAGTATGTAGATTTGTTATTGATAGTATAATAAAAATAAAATGAAAAAAATCAATATATATATACTTAAAAATTATCCAAATAAAAGAATATTTTAATTTTTTGAAAATTCACTTTTTCACTGCATGCAAAAACATTAATTTTATATTGACTGTATATTAATAAATTTAATGCTGAATTAAAGACAAGATTTAGTTTCTGATTTTGTTCTGTTATGTATTATTTATTTTAAAATTTTCATTTTTTAATATATAATACTATAAAAATATGTATACTATAAAAATTAATTTTACATAATTTTTGCTTTTAATAAAGTCATAAAATTTGTAATTTACGATATATATCAATCTCTGTATAATTCAAAAGCAGTCATAATTGTTGTTAAGTGTATACAAATTTACAAGAGATTTACTTGAATAGTTTCGGAAATACCCTGCGTGCAAGTTGAAAAAATAGTATTTTGAGATAAATGCAGTTAAAGCAGTTAATTTATGAGCAAAGTACTGTTTTCTGAATTTTCTTGAAAAATGCATTTTATCCATGTAACTATGACAATTCACCAATATATTAATGATTTTTGTATTGATATATTATGTATGATTATTATTTGTATGCAAATCCACTTAAATAAAAAAAAGAAAATCTTAGAGATAATTTCAGATGTATCTCAGGTTAGACAATAGAAATATATATAATAAAGTCATTATGGAATATTTAAATTTATTAGAAAAAAATATGAAACCGCTTTAAAATTTGAAAGGTCATATATAATACCCTATATTTCCTTCTATGCTTGAAATTTTACAGCATTTGAAATAAGTTTTCTCTATGAGATTCTAAACTCATTGCTGAAGTACTGATTTCAGCATCGCAGATTTGATTTTAATGAGCTTTTTTTTTATTTTATTTTATTTTTTTTTTTTATTCAGTTGCTCCTTGTCCTACCATGAAAGCCCATTCTATTCTTTTCATACACTCTAGTCATCCTATACCTCATCATTGAATGATATAATGGCTTCATGTGCAGCAGTCTGTGCAGTAAGTTTACTTGACTAGCTTTGGGGCACAGTTTCCACACAAAGGAATTAAAAGATTCATTGGAGATACACTTCGAAAACACAAGCAATAAACTTAACTCAATTACTGTGAATCAAAGTAACAAAGGTCAAACGAAATCCCAGTTTTTGTCTTAGTTTTCGCAATTTCTACTGCAAACATAACAAGCGATAACAATATATCAAAACTAAATTAAAATCACTTTTCCTCTTGTGTTCTTCCATTGGCATATTTTTATTTAAAATAGGCTGGCTTTCAGTGCATGAAATCCAAACTTAGGACCTTTAAATTATAAGCAAACACCACAGTAGCTGTCATCATTGTAGGTGTAAGAAAAACAGCTATTTCGATGTTTACATTATTTTCACTATCTTACAAATTAATGAATGTGTAGTAAAAACAATGGAATCAATTCAGTCAGAAATGATTGGGCTACAAAAATATTGCAAAATTAAATTTTTGAAAATTTAAAAGCTACTGTTCCCTTTAAAAATTACATTGAATAATAGGTGATTCTAGTTAGTTATATTTCTATGGCTTAAACTTTCTTTATTCAAAAAATTTCATTGACTCATTAAGTGTATAAAGTTTCTGTGTTTAAAGACACTGAATGTAAAGAATATGTTAGTGAATTCTTCTTGAACAGATATTTGTAATTTAACCCCATGCATGCTAAAACGATCGAGATTTTTATCAGGGTGTCATATATTACCTTATTACTTAAAACATTTTGTTTTCTTATTTTCTTTAATGATCTAAATATTTATGAAAAAATTTCATAATAGAAAATTTATGAAAACAGAAATTAAAATATTATGCAAATTTGGCTTATAAATGCTGTTTAGATATAATTCTATGTAAGCAGATCTGAAAGTCATGCCACTCAGAATGTTAATGTTATTTTATGCAGTTGTATTTATTATTTATTTAGATTTAAACTCTCTCCACTTTCTAAGCCATTAATTTTATATGATTTAAGCTTCTGCATTTGATATTTGAAGTAGCATTTCATGACATTTCTGAATAAAAGATGTGTATGGAGTAGTTCATTAAATTGCAGAGTAAAGTAATAATAATGAATTTTGTAGTATTTTTATTATGTAAACAGTTTTAAACTATTTTTATTATGCAAATACATTAATTAAATTTCTCTATAATCTTAGGAGTAATATCCTCATTTACTAGTTATCTATATAAAGTGGGTACTGGAAGATTTGTGACAACATTAGGAGCAGTAAGTTGTATTTGAATATTTACAACTTTTTGTGGTTCAAAATGACTTTTTAATATGCCTACTCAAATGCTTTGATCATGTTAATTCAATCATTTCTGCTTTTTGTTAAAGGTTTGAATTGCAGTTAAAAGCATGTTTACTTGACAAGGGTCCCATTTTAACGATTTAATTACATACTATAAAGTTATTAAATGAATATCATTTCTAATTGCTTATGAAATAATAAAGCCATTTTTGGTTATATGTAGTACCATTTAATTACATACAGAGTTATATGATAATGTAAAAAAGTCATTTTTTATTATACAGAGTTATATTATTTGATATTAAAAATGTTCTGCTTCAATTGATTATGTCAGGATTAGCCACAGTCTACAGGATATAGTCAGTCTGGGTCACAGGGGATAAAATCGGTCTTCACAGGACTATAGTGACCACTGGTGATGGCTGTTTCAGGCTCAGCAGGGACCATATGGTACTGTCTTGTATGTTCCGTTGTTTTTGGTGGAGCTACGTAGTCAGATATTTATGATTGTCTTGAGGAAAATTCCTCTGTCAGTGGAGTTGTGGCGAGTTCAGCAAGACTGCTTGAGGTTTTCATGGAGTGCTTGGAGCCTCAAAACTGCATATTTATGTCCTTCCTTAAATACCCCCTGGGGGTGCCTGTAACCAATGTCTGTATACCATGATGTAGTGTTAGCAGGTCAGATTGGTGGCCCGGTTTGTCTGATAGTGTTTAAGTGTCTTCGTTCTGCTGTCCAAGACTGGGGTCCCTGTTAATGGCAGATATATTTACCTTCCCTCCAGAAAAAGGACGTGGAATGTGAGTTGCTGAGTATTCTTGTCAACTCGGCTTAGTCTTGGTTCATCGGCCCGATCGATAGGTTAGTGGTCTTTGGAGCTTCTCTAGATGTTGGGGCGTTTAATTAAGGCAGCCTCGAGCTTCTCAGGTCTGGGTGCTCCTTCCTTCTAGAGCAGTGTCGTATTTGAACGAAAGGTTATAACCAGGGCAGAAGTTCATCTCTGGTGTTCTCTTATGCCTTAATGGACGTGAAAATACTCGATGTCACTGCATATGTAAGGGTAGATGCCAGCACCGTAGATGCATTCGATAAATTGCTTAATCCTTATTTTGTGTCTACTGTTGCAATCATAGTAATTTGTGCAACATCGTATCTGTTGCAAGACAAAATACTAAAAACATTTCTTTAATAATCACATCTCTATTTTGTAAATTAAAATACCTCATAGAAACTGATATCTGCTTTTGATGGCTGGCATCAGGGCTACAGTCAAGTAAAATAGAAAAATACTTTGCCTGTTTGACCTTATTTAAATAATTTGTTCTATGTTATCCCATAATATTCGCATATTTTTTGAGTTTCATTGACATTAGGATGTACAGGCATGATAGGGGCAAATTTTGCGATCATTTCTATGCCCTTTAAAAAAATTATTATTTCTTTCGAATTATTTGTTATTGAAACCATGAAAGGCTAAGTTTCATTTGGCTAAAAACTGAATGGCATAGATAATTCTTTCAATACCATCGCGTCAATGCTTAGTTTCTTTCTTTAATAAATTTTGAAATTCTAAATCAACAACTTTATTCTTTCCTGATCATCCTAAGAAATCTGACAAAAAATATAAATTCCGAAAATGCATTTTACTGTTGTCAGGACATTTTAAGTGCTCACTTAAGTAGTTCCAGTCATCAAATCCAGAACTACCCAATCTTATGTCACTCAAAAAATGCAAATTTTGCAACAAAAACAATGCACAGAATTTTTTTCCTCAGAATTTAGTAACCAATCCCTTTTAACGTTTTCGTTGTCTGGTAAGATTTGACTAAGCGTACATCTAACAAAATTTACATCCATATGCGTATCATTATGTTTAAATGCCTATCTACTGCAGAATTGTAGATTTCACTATTATTTTTTCTGTTATTTTGACCAGCTGGATTGAAGTTAATGGTAATTCACGATTGAAAACAATTTCTAACTCCTTTTGATTGTTGTTTATATATATATATATATATAATTCCAATTCAATGGTAGCTGAAACGTTAATGGACAACTAGTGCTGGTAGTGTCAGCTTGGGTATGCTCTGGGTTTTGGAAAAGCTAAGTAAGTTAAAATTCTGGTTTATTAAGTCTTCCTCTCATTTTCTTTTCTTCAGTAAATTCTGATACTCAGACAGTTTTTTCTGTTTTTCTTTGGACATCTGGGAAAAAATTAAAACAGAAAAAGTGCAAGTAAAAATAAAAGTAGAAAATAACTATTATAAGGACCATTGCGAGAAACACTTCTTGTTAAGAAACACTTGGAAAGTAACTGTTTGAAACATTTTACCTTCCTTCTGGAAAAACTGAGTATATCTTTAACCATTGCTGGGAAAAATGTGAACTACTAGATCAATACCAAATAATTCAAGGAGATAGTGGTTCTCTTTTTGTTTATTAAAAGAAAGGAATCAAATTTAAAATATGTATTTAAGATGTAATGAAATAACGAATAAGTTTTCTTTGGTTTCCGTACAGCTAAAAATGAGAAAATGGCCAATTTGTAATTTCAGAGCACTTTGTATATTTTTATTTCACATCAAATCTCAAATAGGTACATTATAAACTCAGTGTTATTCCGTAATATGTCAAATTTAATAAACAAATGGTTCATGTAAATTTTTTTTTTTTAGTAATTATGCTCAATCATCACTTTTCTGAATTAAAAAGCTAAGTGTAACATAAAAAGTAACTACACTTAACTTTTTTTACTAACAATAACAATAAGCAATCACCAGAAAAAATTACTAAAATATAATTGTTACTACTACGATTGCAACAGTAGACACAAAATAAAGATTAAGCAATTTGTTGAATGCGTCTACCATTACATACCCATTGGCATCATATATTTCCATTTATATATCAGCTCAGCTTATGTCAAAAACTTCAAAAAGTATTAATTAATAAAAATGAAAACTATATAAATAGTATAGATTTTGCACATGAACTGCAGTTTTTACAAATTTCTGGAATATATGTAGCAATGTCGGTTGAAACTCTATATCATTGTCAACAACATTGAGGTAGGCAGAAAAGAATTTTGGACATCAACCCTAGAGCATTTTTTGTGCCCTGTTGTAATCACAGTCTGCACCTTTTTGTAAACGATGCTGATAATAACAATTTATTCGGTAAAAACTTACTAGATGCGTAAATTTATTTGTTTTTAATTTTAAGAAAATAAATAGTGTTAAGCAGTATATTTGTTATCCAATGCGCTTAGTATATTGTTTTGCTTCACTTGCAATGTTATTTTTTTTATAATGTATCATTCTTCAATAAATATGTTTGAGCATGGGCTTTAAGAAATCGCAAAATGCTTGCACATTTAAAAAAATTAAAATAGAAAATGTATTTTTTTAAAATTTTTATGTTAATAATACTTAACTTTAAGTGTTAACCATAAGCAGTTTCTCTTTAATATCGTCACTGCATAAAGGTGCTCACTAGACATTTGCATGACGCCGATTAGGTTTGCGCGGGCCTGACTATGCAGTACACATGGAATTTGGTGACATTATGATGAGCAGTAAACGGGTCATTTTGATGTTGGGAAAATTTTCACAATCATGCCAAAGTCATACAGTATACTAGGATTTTATGACAAAATCTATTAAACCTTTTTTTTTTTTTTCTTTTTAATAAATGCCTTATTTGTTATTTTGTAGTAAAATCAAAAAATGGTAATCAATCATCTAGGGTAACCATTTAATGTAACTACATTCACCAAAATATTGTTGATTGTTGTAATTCAGCTTTTAATCTTTAAGTAATTGACTTTATTTTAATGTTATTTGTATCATTTAATGGGGGTTTCTTCTGCATACGATTTGCATATGCACTGCACTGCTAAGGATTCGGATGACTTGTCGAGATCTGTGCATGGTTTTAGTTTTCAAGACTATTCATGGCTTTTTTTATGATATTGTATTTTAAATTGTGAGCAGTGCATATTGAGTTGATGTTCAAGTGTTGTTGGAGGTGTTTAAGAAATACATTGGAGGCTATAAAAACTTTAAAAGATGCTTAAAAGAATTATTTTATGACTTTTTTATTAAATATTGTGTTTATTTAATGAGATTAAAAAAGAAAGAGACCCAATGTTTAAGTCCTTGTCTTATTATTTATTTTTAGAATGTTGTATATAATCAACATTTAATTTCATTTTAATTTTATCTACAAAAATATCATAAATGCATTATAAGTGCTTTGTTTATGCATGCTGATGAGAACTATTTTCATATGTGATATTTAAATTCTCAAGTTCATAGGCGTTGAATTTTGGTGTGTGTGTGTGTGTGGGGGGGGAACTGATGCTTATTAGTCTGTTACAAAACCATTATAAAACTGTATGGGCACTCTATATGAAGATAGTTTAAAATGTAATTATCATTTGTGTAATATTTGTGCTGATATTACTGTGCTTTTCTGGATTGTGCTACTTATTTATAAAATCATGTGTATATATAATAAGCAAGTTAAAACAAATTGCACATGTTATCAAACCAAGTTTTGTACCCCCAATAAAGACGTTAATGTAACTGTTATAAGGTTGAACATATTTTTCAATAAAATTTGTGCTTCGTCTAACTTTCTTGTTTTGATGAATTGCCATCTTTACAAACTAAATAAATAGAAGTCTAACTAAATTGCAGTAACACATACAAGAATTAAAACTTAACCAAAAAATTTATTAAAACTTTTAGCACAACTAAAAATTAACAAATGCTAGCTACCATAGATCCGGGATTCGATCCTTGGCCTAGGCAAGGTTGACTCAGCCTTTCATTCCTGGATTGGGGCAATAAAATGAGTACCAACTTCGCTTAGGGACTAAACACTGGGGGTCCTGCAACAAGCTGACCACTTTTCTAGGCTAAGATGCACAAGCAACTCGGAGGCCACAGTCTAGAAAGCAGATATCAGGACACTCCCGGCCATGGCTCTTTATGGGCTGTTTGTGCCACTGAGTTTAGTTTAGTTTAGAGTTTTAGCTAACACTACTTATTGGGTTTTATAAACTCAATATTTAAATCAACATAAAACATTATCTAATTTTCATCTGAACTACTCAGCCATAATTAATGAGGGTACCAATTCTATGGTCTACAGATACAAAATTTCACTCCTTGGGTTCACTAGACAAGCAGTTTATTGTCTCATATTAACACATTTTAGTGGATGATTATTATAATACTCACTCTGAAGTACATATTCACTCACTAAATTCTTGAGTTGATTAGATAAACAGTGCATTCTTTCAGGTTAACACATTTTACTTGATGATTATTATAATATTCATTCTAAAGTACAAATTCACTTGTTATTTAAACTCTGACTGACAGTAGAAATAGAAGGTACAGAACAAAATTAGAATAAAAGTAACATATTAGCTAAAATAAACCTTATGTTATAATGCACTAAATATTATTATAAGATAAATCGAGTTGTATTATGACTGCATAAGTAGATTTCCTGTTACAAATTATATGACATAGTGCTTTTTTCATATATTATAACACTCAATTTTTGTGTAATTATTTGGAAAGTTAAATGTATTTTGTTTTTTATTTTGTGTGTATTATATCATCAAGAGCTTTTTGTTATATTAATTCTATATTGTTTATTCTTGTTATATTAATTCTATATTGAATATTATTTTCAGTCAGGTGCTTTGATGGCTATTCTGTCATCAATGTGCTTTCAGTTTCCTGATGCTCAGCTGCAAATTGTTTTTCTACCATTTTTGACCTTCTCAGCTGGCCATGTAAGTTTTGAAAAAAAAAAAATAATAATAATAATAATAACTTTTATGGTTACTTTAATAATAATATAATGTATTTAAAATTTTCAAAATATTGTCTTTATATTCAAATATGAAATGTTATAACAAATTAATAATAATCTTATCTTATAATAGACAAATAAATATTAATCTTATTTGGTAATAGATACATATAAAAAGGAAGGAAAAAACCACACAGCTGAAAGTAACATTTTATTTTTGGGTATATCTTATGTTTAGTTATATGTTAAATAGTAAGTAATGCAGAATCATTATTTGAAGACATTCAAAAAGCAAAAGTCTAAAAATTTCAAAAGTATAGGAATCAAACAAATAAGTATAATGTAGTGCAATTTCCACAAAAAATTAACCACACACATAAGGATTTTTTTAGTTCAGATTTCCACTAGAAGGCACTGTATGATATCGAAGGCAACAGTCTTAGTTGATAGATGATTTATTTGATACCAAAATGTTCATTACACATGTCGAAGGTGTTTATTGTATTTACCAAAAGAAAGAAATATTCTTTATTGTTTTAAGTGCCTTTCTTATTATCATTATTGTTATTGTCAGTATTTTACAGACCCTTTTTTGGTGAAATTTTAAAGTAAATATTTCCCTATATAAAAGAAAGAAAAAAAATTGAGAAAATGTAATTTTTTTCTGAGTAAACGATCCTCTGTTATATCTGTTCATTTGATTTTTGTAAATTTATGCAATCTTTAGTATCATTCAGATCACCCTTACATTAAATCATAGATAACTTGGTATAGATTTTTGTCTGGTATTTATTAATGTTTAAAAATATGATATTGAGGAATTTTGATATACACACACACACACACCATAGAAAGAAGACATAATCTTATAATTTTTCTGAAACAACCAGAATTTAATATTTCAAAGTATGTAGAAAGAATTGAAAAAAAAATGATACATATATAAGTAGAAGAGAACAGAGTGGCAAAAGAATTAAAAATAAATAAGACGAGGTACATATCTTGTAAAATTTTTTTGCTAATGTGACTGGACAAACATATATGAGCCGTATAATGAACAATTTAATACAGCCAAAAATTAAATTAATTCTTTTTATATTGCAAAACAAAGTAGCTAATTTTTCATTATTCCAGTTTAACCTCAATATTGTCAATCACTGTGTTTAGACTGTTGCCCTCAATGTTTGAGAAATAATTTAATCAGTGTTTGTCTAACCAAATGTCTAATCGATGTTTCTCAAGTTTTTCGCATGGCAACCTGCAAAATTAGAATGGCTGCTACTGAATTACTCTTGCCCCAATAAAATGTGATTTTTTCAGCAAATGATATTACCAGTATATGCATAATAATAATAATAATAATAAATAATTAATAAAAAAGTAAATAAATGTTGGCACTCATAAATGAATGATATGGATGAGCCTGCTGATTTTTTCATAGCAGTTTTATGTTTGGATGTATGCTGGTAAGAAGCACCACAATCACAGAGCTTTAAATTCCTCTTTTGTTGCTAAGACTAGTATAGGACATCCTCAGGTGGAATAACCAGTAATAAATTAATAAAGTGTCTCTTGGAAGAAAACATGAGAGATGATTGCCAAGTGTAATAGCCAAACTCTAAGATTTTTAGCTATAGTGTAGTATATGCATTTAATCTGAATTTTAATTTTTGTCTCTTTTGGAAATCCAAGGAGATTACAAGGGCAAGCATGTCGATTTGTGAGAACCACTTGTGTTTGGTAGACCACAGAATGTGAAACAATACTCTACATAGTTAAAATCAAGTATCAGGGGCAAATCTAACAAATTATGTAGCAAATAAATTTACATATTAAAGTATATCCCAAAATCATCAATTAAATGCATGTAAACAACCAGCAAAAGCAATCAGTCAATTAAATGCATGTAAACAACCAGCAAAATAATTTATAATTGGAATCTAATTATCAAATCAAAATGACAAGATGCTGGAAACTATAATCATAATGGAATAAATACAACTAACATGTAGCCCAAATAATAAAATACAATTTCTTAATTTATATAATTACAGTATCTTATTTTATGTAATTACAGTTGCGGCTTATTAAACTCACTGTTCAATAAACTCAGCCACTTATTACATTCAAATTTCCAGGAACCAAAACAAATACATACTAATCATTGCTTATTAAACTCAGAGTGTCAGCAAAAAACTGAGTCTTCAGTGCCAGAATATCCTGCTTTTCATATTTCATCCATTTTACATATTGTAGACTGTGGCTTTATCATTTTGGTATGTACTACTTAATAAAATGGGTTTGATCTAAATTTTCCTACCTTTGATTCCTTTACCTATGGGACACAGTTTTCAGAGTTCTTTGGCTGCGCTGGACTTATAAGGTTAACAAAAACAGTTCTCTAGAGACACTTAAAGTGATTCGATGCTCTTTCTCAAATACCAGCTAATAGGAGGGGAAAACTCAATTCTGTATCCCACCTTTTAAAGGTTTTCACATTCAGAATCTTTCATTTGGGTTAGACACATTATGTTCACACAGAGTTAAAAAGAAAAGTTCATCAAATGGCTATAAGCTTTAACATACATTAAAAGCCTTAGAATGAAAAGGAAGTGACAACTGTAGACCAGAGAAAAAGCAAAGGAAACAGTGGTCATATATGTAACCATGAAGAGGTAGATTGACTTAACAGACAAAGGGTAATCTTTCTGATGGTTAAAAATGTAAATTATGTTATTTGCATTAGTCACTGGAAGAAACATTTTTTAAAAAATTTGTTGTGTGCTTAACGTGTTACTTGTTGAAATACCAAATGAAAAGACTCAAGCCAGTCGAAAAGAATAAACCATTAGAGGATTTTAATTTCTCGGTAACTGAAAAATCAGTTCTTTTCTCCTATACAAAAAATAAACTAATCAGTCAAATATTTTATATATTTTAAATATTGAGGTTATCGTTATTGTTGAAATTTTTACCATTTAAGATGTTTTGTAAACTTCAAAGTAATCTGTTGGTGGAAGGTTGGGGCTATATGAGGGATGCAACATCACTTTCCATCCAAGCTCATGTTGCTAAAGATGTGTGAGCCCTCACACTGTCATGGTGGAACATGATTCCTTTGCACTTTGCTACTTCTGGCCTTTTCTATGTATTTGCATCCTAAAATTTTATAAGAGTTAATTGTTTGATTGCTTGGAGGCAGCTTAAATACACAAAACCTGTGCAATCCCACTAAATTGACAGCATGGTTTTTTCTGATTCAATTTAGCTTTTATTATGATTTGTACTTATTCATCATGCTTGGACCATGATTCTTTGTCAATTAATGTTATTGTAGGCAATTCATTTTTCATCACCAGTGATAATTCATTTAAAAAAATGGTCGTTTGCTTTACAATTGAAATATGTATTACAAATATTGAATCATTAAGTTAAGTGAATTTCTTTCAATTCATGCAGAACTAAATGTCTAGCTTCTTAACGAGTTGAAGACATCTTATGCGATTTTCAGGTGTTGTGCGTGATGTATTTAATCTTTTTACAGTCTGTCTCACAGTTATATGATGATTTGATTCAGTTAGGGGTTAACTTCAGAAGGTCGGCCAGATCCTTGGATCATCATCAACTTCAGAAGGTCGGCCGGATCCTTGGTAAAAGTAAATTAAGTGAAAAACGTCCAGAAAGAAAGTTTTTAAACCAATTCTGAAAAATGCATTCTGTTAAGCAATCAACACCATAAACTTTATATCTCTTTCTGAGCCTCAGCCACTTACTTGCCTTTTTTATTTCATAAAGTAAAATATGTCGAAAATATTAATTTTTGCACCCCATTTTAAAGTTGATAGTAAACTAACAGTTGTAAATAAGAATACACAGAATTTGTTTCTATAGCAATTTAAAAGTGTCAGCTGTTCAATCTCAAAGGGAAAAAACCATAAAATTGATAGAAGAATAGCAAAACGAATATAACGCGCTCTATTTGTGCAAGCCAAAATTACTTTCATATCAACCCAATACATTTAAACTAGGAACTTCAATAACAGCATTGTGGAATTTAATTAAACATGGAATTACAATTAATGAAGAACTAATAAAAAATCCAACTGTCTCAAAGAAAATCGAAAAAGATGCAAAATCGAGATGCAAATTAAAATTGCTTTTCTAGAATGATTTTTAAGCTATGAAGCTTAAAAAAAAAAAATATATATATATATATATATATATATATTTCTAAAGCTTTTTTCACTAATTCTGTAAATGCTGAGAGAGAATTTGACATCAACTGACATGTAGCTCACAAACTGGAGAAAGTTAAATCCAACATTGTACATCAGAAATTGCATGGTGAGAAAGATGAAAGGAATGGTGCATCTAATAATTGGATACAAGACGCTTTACTTGGTTTGCTAAATGTATACAAGCCACACAAAATTTATAATATAGAGGGAACTGGACTGCATTACCTAACAGTACCAGAATACACATTAATGTTTAAAATTGAAACAGCAGTTGATTTAAGATATTGAAAGAGTAAGTCACTGTATTATTAAACTGCAATATGGAGCCAACAATTAAGAAGACAACACTGGTTTTTGATAAAAAGTGCAAAATCTGGATGTTTGAAAATAATTAAGTATTTATTTATAATGTACCATAGCAACAAGAACTCATGTATTTTTACCGATTTTCTTTTGAAATGAGATAGTGAACTGAAAAAGGGGAAAAAAAAAAAAAAAAAAAAAAAAGAGTTTTGTGAATCAAATAACTCTGCAGTACACATACCCCTGATCTCTTTCTGAAAAATGTTAATATCTCTGCAAATGCAACTTCTAATGTTCAACATTTAATTTTGGGATATTACAAAAGTTTTTTATTGTCATTACAGAATGATGTTCGGTAAATGATGAATAGAATTGAATTTTGTCAAAATGAGGATCGAAGGAGATAAGTAAGTTGATATTTCTGCCAGAGTTTTGCATA